CCTGTCATTGCCTCTGAAGTGTTAGATAAGTCAGAACTATGGAAAATAATCTTTGCCTATAGACATGTAATTCCTGTGGAGGTTAAAGGATTGACTTCCCTCCCCGACTATGGGAGAGGCCCATTTGCCTCCATTTATACACTCATCTCCATATTCCTGATCCATTCTTTGGACTCTCCTTTGTGCTGGTTGTAACATCTCACCGTTTCCCTAATTGAAGGAGTTAACAAGGAAATCGCTACTGCATGCTCATTTCATCTCACCACGGGTTATGATTTGGCCTTCTTTTTGAAAATTGCCCTTTAATAACAAGAATAGTCAAGATTTAAAAGCAGAAGTCCAGGCTAAACTTGGGATTGAAACCCACAGAAACCAGGCGGTAACAGAAGTGACAGGCGCAAGGCCCACAGGGGCTGTGGGGAGTGCAGAGCCCAGATCCCCAGCAGCACACCCCCAGCAGCTTCAACAGACTGCTATCCAGTGGGAATTCAGGCCAGGGTTTCCAGATTCTCTGATTTTTATTTCAGGAAAGCTGGAAATCCATAATTTGATGAGAAGCCACCTGCCTGTATACACTGGCAACCAAGTAAAAACCAAGTATATACACGACTATATATAAAATAAACAAGGTCCTAATATATAGCACGGAGAACTATATTCAATATCTTACAATAACCTACAGTGAAAAAGAATATGAAAAAGAATATATGTATGTATAACTGAAACACTTTGCTGTACACTAGAAACTAATGCAACACTGTAAACCAACTATACTTCAATAAAAAACAAACAAACAAAAAAACCAAGCAAACATTCTAAGAAACACCATGTAGACCAACAAATGATGTTGGAGGCTTCTGTCGCTGCCTGTGACCTCTTCACACTCAGGTGGTAAACATTCCTCACTATACTGAGGGCAAAACTGAGCAGGGCCCTGTGGGAATTTCTTGTATACAAAAACTTTTCCATGTCCCCCAGTTTCTTGTTCGTTGGAAAAGAGCTTTAGTCTTCTAGACCTTCCCTGAATTCCAAAGAACTGATTCAATCAGTTAGTAATTAGGGAACTGAGGAAATGCAGAAACAAAGGAAAAGCAGCCAAAAAGCAATAGTTCAGCGATGAAACAAGAGTCCTAGCTCCTCGGGGTTGTATATAACAATCTGATACATGCCTTTGAGTTGTTCTCCCAGAACTGAAGGCCCCTACCCAGGTGGAGGGTGGTAACTACATGCTGAGACCCCAGGCTGGCCGGAATCAGAAGGTTGATGACTGAGATTCCTGAAACACCACCCGGATTCCTCACCACCAACCAATCAGAAGAAGGTCATGCACCCTGTGGCCAGCACCCCCAAATGTTGCCTTTAAAAACTATTCCCCCAAAACCGTTGGGGAGTTCTGGTCTTTTGAGCAGGAGCAGCCCACTTTTCTTGCTCGGCCCCTGCAATAAACCTTTCTCTGCTCCCAGCTCCAACGGCTGGGCTTGTTTGGCCTCACTGTGAGTCAGGTACATGGCCTTGGGTACAAGGGCACTTCTCACACCAGCCTTTAACCCCATATACACTGGGCTTCCAACAACACTTACCCCACCACATACAAGCACGGCTGAGAGGTCATCCTGGGCTCTGTTGTTCCAGGGCTCAGACCCAGTGACTCCTCCAGGAAGTCCATGGTGATATATGTTAGAGTGACAACAATTTCCAAAATTGCAAACCGTCACTCCTAGCATGTGGAATCTTCAAGGACAAGGGCCTTGTTTTAGTAACTGTCCCCTTTATGTCTGTGTGCACCTGTTGTGTGCCAGGAGCTTTACATGGCTGGATATCAACCTTGGTTGCACATCTGAACTACATGGGATTAAAAAAAACTACCAACCTTGGGTCCTATCTCCAGAGATTTAGATGAGTTGGCCTGGAGCGTGACCTGAGGGTTGGGAATTTTAAATGCTCCCCAGAGAACTGCAATGTGCAGCCCTGATGGTCTTGACCACTTAACACTTCACACGGGCTCTTCTCCCGACTATTTCTATTTCTGCCAAAGATGGTCAAAGCCCACCTCTTCTGAGAGTTCTCAGAGTCAAAAATGCAGCCCACTTGCACTTTGTATGACTTTAACCTGATTTCTTGTCTTTTGGTAATAATACTTTTGGTTAATATCATGTTTATGTCTTGTTAACAACAACAACAACAACAACAACAAAAAGCACACTGTGAGAGCTGCGAGTTTCACTTTTACTTGAGGACTTAGCGAAGAGCTCTAACCCAGGAGACAATTCCTCAGGTAGCTCTGAGGAGCTGCTCCGAAGTGGTCGGTGGGGGAGGTAATTCTGGCCAAGGGGTCCACACAATCAAACACGGTCCTTGGTAGAAGGTTGCTGCTAGTCGTGAGGAACAGATAACCTAATGATTTCGGTGCTTTTTTAAGTATGGGAAGATGTGAGAATCCACGTTTATAAAAATTTTTCCTGAAAATATCTATCTGAAGGCGGCTTGTTCTGTCAGTTTTCCCAAAGCTCAGAGTGCCTCGTCCTGATCTCTGCCCTGAGCTCCTATCAGGCTGTACTGTAGGTATGACTGGAAAGTAGGCAACATCCTTTGTTTTAGTCTTTACTTGCTGATGGCTTTTCTTGAGTAGACTCTAGTCTTTGTGGGGCTGGGGGTGGGATTACAGGGATGGGATCAGGGCCTTTATTTTGTCTAACTGTTGAGTCCGTAAGTATTTGTCGAATGAGTGAACAGCTTAGCCTGGGAGGTAGTTTATTATTATTATTATTATTATTATTAAATCCTTGTTTTGCAAATGAGGAAACTGAGCCCAGAGAGGTTAAGCAGCCCCCACCTCTGCCTCTGCCTCCCCAGGCTCTTATAGGACACAAGCCTGGGCCTGCGTGAGTGGAAGCAAGTAGTCTGAACACGCCACTCTCCTCTTCTACCTGGCAATTTCACGGTTTTGGTTTCCAGGTCATGGTATCTATGACCTTCCAGAATCACCTCCAAAGCCCTTCAGGGAGAGTGTTACACACTATAATCTCCAAGGAATGTGCCCACACAGTGAGAGTTTCTCCAAGGTCCCGAGGAGCTTTAATCTTTTACTGCCTAAAATCAAATCCTTCTCGTGTAAAGGAGTGTGCCTGAGGCTGAGAGAATGGAGTATTTAGAAACTGGGAGGAAATGGTGTTGGGCTGCGCCCCTCAGTCCTGCAATTCTTGTGATTGCCCAGCTGTGAGACTGAAGAGAACCCAGAAGGAGTCAGTGACAGAGACCTCAACGACTGAACAGGGAATCTGAAAAGTCAGAGGCAAAAGTCCTGGAGGGACTCCTGACTCCCTGCCATGTAGACTGATGGTGGCAGACCGGACTATGCTGCCATCTCTGCCACACAAGGGCTCCTTGGTTGCCAGGGACACAGCTGGAATGCATCCCCCACCCCTAGATCTTTGGGTTAGTAACCCTCACGAGGAGGCAGTTTCCTGTTGATGAACAAACATAATGGAGCCATTCTCGTCTGAGGGCTATAAAAATCCATAGCTGGGGGCCAGGCAGATCATGCAGGTAGTTTCTCATTAAACTTTCAGCTTGTAGGGGAGGCAATCATGAGTGTAAGGTAGGGGTGAGGCAGGGCCATGTTCGGCAGGGGATGTATGGAGAGCAAGAGAGCTGCCATCTTATGGGCCTGAGCATACATGTGGGTAGTAGGGTAGAGAGGCCTTGGCAGGTGCAAAGATGAAGCAGGAACGATGCTAGAAGGGAGCTGTGCAGCCCCCTTCCTATTTTCCAGTGAGGCTCCGGGGACACGGGTGTCAGCATCCAGTTTCCCCACTGACACGCTGACCAAAGAACCCAGCCAAAAGGATACCTCTCATACCTCTGAGGGGTCAGCCTTGGGAGAAGTGAGTTCTAGTTTTGCTTCTATTGTGTGACACTGGACGAGTCCTTTGCCTTGCAAGGCCTGAAACTGCACTTGTGTATAATGAAGAGGCTGCACTAGATGAGAGAGGGGGTGATCAGTATGGGAGGAAGGTGTGCAAATAAAAGATCAGGTAAAGTCTGGAGCTTGGTTAATAGTAATATATCAATGCCAGTTTCTCCTTGTTTATAAAAAAATCCGTATATCTTTTTTTTTAAAGAAAAATACCCTTATATATTAATGTTAACATGGGGGAGACTGAGAAGGAATTCTGTGCTATTTTTGCAACTTTCCTGTAATCTAAAATTAACTTCAAAATAAAACATTTCTTTCAAAAAAGATGATTAAGTTTTAAATTCTACACATGCTTTCATTTATTTGACAAAGATTGATCACCTATTAGGTGTGAGACACTGGGTACACATTACTAGTGACCAAAAGTCATGGTCCTACCGCTTGTGGGGTTTACAGTCTAGCGGTAATTTAGCAGGAATAATATCTCTATTGCTTTTATAAAAAGCAAACCTCAGCTCAAAGTGTAGTAGCTTAACGAAATCTTGTCCGATGGGGTATATGTGAGCAGAATCCTCGCTCTATCACTTCCTAGCTGTGTGACCTTGGCAAGGCCTTATCGTGTATGTTTCCTTAGTGGTAAAAGAGGGCAAAAAAAATGGATTCCCCCGTAAGTGCTTAACAGTACTAGGCACGCATTAAAGCACTTACTTAATGTTACTTTTCATGCTTATAATAATTATTAAAAAGACACAGTGATTCATAACTCGGCTATGGAGGAGCGCAATATTGACATGGAGCGTGACACTTCTTGTCAAGAAGGACTTGGGTGCGAAAACATAATGGTCCTTCCCGCAGCGGCTTACAGCCCGAGTTCAAAAACCACAGCCCCTCCCCTTCCTCGCGCTCCAGCCCCGCCCTGAGTTAGGCCCCGCCCCGCCCTCGCGCTTTGACCACCCCCCCCGCGCACGAGCTCCGCTCCGCCACGTCCCATCCCGTACTCGGACCCGCCCCTTTTCTCCTTAGACTCCGCCTTCGCCCCAAAGGCGGGGCCTGACGCCCACGCTCGGAGAGAGGGGCTAAAGGAGCAACCTCTGTGGGGCGGAGTCGGGAGAGATCTGTCCAATTCCAGGCCTTGAAAGCTCAGTTCCGGAGGGGGCGGGGCGAACAGGGAAGTGGCGACGGTCGGCTTTGCATAAAGATGCCCAGATTAGCATAACCAGTGCAGGCAGGTATTTAAAGGAGTCGTCGCCGCCGCAAATCTAGTGGTTAACCCAGCGCGGACCCACCCTTTGCAATGAGCCCCCTGCTGCAGCCTGCGTTCCTGATCTCCCTGGGCTTGCTCCTTGCCGGCCCAGCGGCTACTGCAAACCGCCCGCCACTGGTGAGCGCCCTGTCCTTTAGGAAGCTGCTTCCAGGATCCCAACCCAGGTTGGGGTGTGCGGGTGGGGTTGGGATATGGGGGTGGCTACTCCGGTCTATAGAATTCTCTGCAGCAGAGCCTAGCAAAGCCACTCACTGTTGGACTCCGAGGGGATCCTTTTCTCTCTACGAGTTTCGGTTGGATTTCAGTTTCCCTATCTGTACAGAGGGTGGGCTATAAGGCCTTGCTCTGCTCCAGATTATTTTGGAAGGGTTAATCTCACTCCCGTCTGTACTCTCCTGTCCTCTTTCCAAACATCTGAGTGAAATTTTGCAGAACTGCAAGACTAAAGATCTGCTCCCAAGCCAGAGACTCATCCCCGTTTACCTGCCCCAATTTTTCCCCCATGCAAAGGCCTGACAGCCGTCACCTCCTCTTTTTGTACTGCTCTGAGGCGCTGCTTGTCCAGGTGGGAGGTTGGATTTGAGAGGCTCTTCAGGCCAGAAGGTCCAGACTTGTTCTTCAGGTGACAAAGATCCAGCCCTGCTCCTGGATGTGAGCCATAGAGAGGCTCTAACCTCCCAGCTTCACCATCTCTTCTCAGTCACCCTTTGCCCCAGACCCTCGAGTAAGCAAAGTTCTGTCATTCTAAGACACAGAAAAGCCTAGTTCCATTCTCTCTTTGCTGCATAGCTGGAGGCAAGTCACTTAATATCTCTGGCCACAAAGAGAGAGAGGCCCAGCCTAGATCCCCTACCTCCAACCTCCTTAGAAATATTAGAGAGCAAAGAGCAGGGGGGTGTAGGGGAAAGTGGAATAGGACTGATAGCTGGGAGGCTCATCTTCTGAACCCTTTGTCTTTAATCCATGGACATGGCATTTGGGCTTCTTGAGCCTTGGTCTACTCATCTGTAAAATGGGCTGGATGCCACCAACCTGCCTTTGTCTGATGGCTGTGGGTGAAGGGAAATGCTTCCATGGATGGAAAACCTCTTAAATCTTAAATTTATAAAGCGATGTAAAAGTGGGCTCAGCCTCACCCTGCCCCAGGGGCAAGACATCTATTTTGCCTATTGAATGGAGGAGTAAGGACCTCTTGGCCTTATTTGCCCAGAGGATTCAGTTTGTCCCTGAGTGTAGGTTGAGAATGTTTCTCTTGGCTCCAGTGCTTACCGTTATGAGGTGGTCTGGCTAAGCCTCGAGCTTGCCCTATATCCCTGTTCTCCTATATTGTCTTGGGATGCCATCCCAGACCAGAGGGTCTTAAGTTGGCAGTTTTGGAGGGGCCATGAAACGTCAGGGGATTCACTCACCTTACCCAGGCCCCTAGTGGATAGGGGACTCCTCCAAGATTACACAGCAAGTGGCATTTTCCATCCTTGTCTGCTCTTATCTGGGTCTTTGGGCTCATATGGTTCAGAGCCCTAACCCTGAGACTCTGGGCCAGATGAAGGCTGTAGGGTGACAGTCTTTGTGCTTCGGGAACCCGAGTTCCATTTCCTCTTCTAGCATTAACCAGTCTTGTGACCTGGGCTGTGGTGAGCTTTAGATATGATAACAGCGGAGAAGAACCCCAGGCCGGGCTACAGTAGGTGCTTAATAGACTGTGATACTGTTTAATGACTGTCATTTCTTGTGCACATACTTTGTGCTATGTCTTGAGCTATGTGCTTTTTCTTCCCTAATAAATTTTTTAGGCGAATAATTTCAGATTTACAGGCAAGTTGCAGAGATAGTACGGAGTTCCCACATACTCCTCACTTGGTTTCCCCTAATGTCAACATCTTGTGTTTTCATGGCCTTGACAGTCGTGAGGAATTATGACCTATACTTTCTGTGTACAAGCTTCTCACTCTTATAGTAGCCCTGTGAGAAAATTTAATTATGACCATTGAATAGATGAGGAAATTGAGCCTCAAGAGAGGTTAACTGATCCATGGTCTGTTAGTGAGAGTGACTGAGTTATGACTTTAATCCAGGTCTCTGATCTGGACCCATATTTCTGCCTCCACAGCTGTGCCTTCCCCCTCTGCCATATGCTGCCCCTTCCCACATGTTGGCCTAGGCTGGGAAGACAAACAATCTGGTGGCAGGCCTGCCCTCAGGGGGCATTGCTAATCCTTCATACTTCCTTTTTCTGGATGAGGCTGGACTCAGCTGCAGAATCCATTGCCACAGAAGCCTGTAGTCAGGCATTGGAAACCTCAGGGAAAACCAGGGCCTGGGGGAAGGTGGGAGCAGGGCACAGTGGACACTGCCTCCAGCCTGGAATCAGTCCTCAGTGTGAATCAGGCTGCCTTGGAATCTCTGAAAGCAGCTCCAGAAAATGGCTAGTCCTCCTCCCCACCCTCCAGCCCAGCTCTTAATCCCAGGCACTCTTTCATTTGATAGTAGAATCCTGACTGGTCTCTGTACTTCCAGACTTGACCCTCTGCCATCCGTTTTCAACCATAAACCAGAGCATGGCGCTCTCCTGCAATGGAGTCCCATTGCACTTACAGGAAATCCAGCCTCCTACTATGATTTGTGAGGTCCTGCCACCCCTCTGAGCTCATCTGGGTGCCTCATTCATTACATGTCCACTGGCCTTCTTTGTAGAGTCCAGAGCATCTGAGTGTCTTTCCACTATAGGGCCTTTGCCCATGTTCCTTCTGCTTGAACCTTCTTTCTCTTTGTACTGCATCGCTGACTCCTCGTCTTGCATGAGTCCAGCTTAAGCATCATTTCCTCATCTCCCTATTTTAGTGAGTCCTTTGTTACTCTCAACATGCCCCTCTATTAGTTTCTTTTATGGCACCCTGAGATCATTGTAAATATTTAGTTACATTAGACTGTAAGCACTTCACGGCAAGGCAGGCACATTTCTAATTGTTTACCTCTATTAACAGCACTTAGCCCTGGGCCTTGATCATTGCTCCATAAATATCTGTGGAATGCATGTTGAAGGAGACACTTGTGGGTACCTATCCTGCCTAAGGGGCCTTGGGGATCACAGGGATGAATCAGACCCTGTCCTGCTTTTTAGTCACGGCATGATGTTTCATTCCAAGGAACAGAACTCATTCCAAGAAGCTCAAGTAAAGGGAAGTTTATTCCAGGTATACAAGGAATCTCATGGAGCTAATGGCAGGAAGTGGAGACTAGGATGTCTAATGGCTGTTATTTAGGGAGCCAGCTCATGCTTTGTGCCTGGCATTGTGTTATAAACTTTATGTATGTGTTCTTACCCTTGTAAGGTCTGAGAGGAAAGTATAAATGACTCCACTTAAAAGGTGTGGAAATTGCAATTCCAAAGGGGAAACTGGTTTTAGAGTCACAGGATACGCATTTGCATGGCTGAGCAATGATTTCAACCCACGTCTGCTGACTAAAGCCTTGATTTACCCCATATCTCACCCCAAAAAACATGCCTTGGCTGCTATTTAGATGAGGGGTCCAGTAGAGGGGGGAAGGGTGACTCCATCCATTCTGTTTTCCATAGACCAGCAGAATCCTTTGTTTTTGTCCTTTTGGCTTGGTCGTGGGTCTAGATGTTCTGGCCCAATCTTAAAGCTATGACCCCATGACAAAGCCCAAAGCCCTCTGAGTGATTTTGCCTCCGTCTCAATTCCCAAATTGGAGGCAGAGAGAATCTGTCAGCCTAGCTGGGGTTAGGTATTCTGTTTTGACCCACCTAACTGTGAGTGTTTTGGTGAGGTGAGTCAGCGTGGGGATGTAGGACCGGCAGGTTTTCCTTCTAAGATGGAATGTGCATGGTGGGAATGCTGAAAGTCTCTTGAAGGTGGCCTTCAGGGGCCTGGGAAAGGTGTGAGTAGATGGGCAGAGTCTGCACGGTGTAGGAAGTGTTAAAGATCAGGGTTCTGGGGAAGAGGGGAGTCAGTGGTCATGTGTAGTTAGACACGATGGTGGAATCAGGGGACTTCTTGGGGGTTCAGAGGAAGAGGAGGAGATATGGCTCAGCAGAGGAGAGGGGGTGACTCGGGGTGAGGGGTTGGTGGTGGAAGGTGTGAGCAATGGGATGGGAGTAAGATAGCCCTGGTTAGGACTGGGGAAGTTTGTTCACCGGGGATTGTTCATCAACAAGCGGCCCCCTGGGAACTTTCGTGTGTGTTCTAGTCCCTCCCTGGGCTAATGCACCCCTCTGAGGGTGGGGTGTTGGATGCTGCTAGGTTTCCCGGTGTGCTCTGTGCTTCTATTGTTCCTGGCCCTGGACTGGATCGGGGGTGTGACACCAATAAGGTCCTGGGCATGGGCTGCAAAGGTGAATCCTCTAGGAATTTTCTTCTAAGGAGATGCCAAGACTGGCTTGAGAGGAGTGGGGAGCAGAGAGGTGGGGGATCAGAGAAGATATCTACCAAAGGCAGATGTGGTTACTCTCCTGTTTTGAGGTTGAAGGTCAGTTATATTGTGCTCTGTAGTTCACAGCACACTTTTGGGAGATTGTGTCTTTTGCGTCTTTTAGTTTAGTCCTGCTTATGACATGGGTAGGACCAGTGTCATCGCAGGTTTATAGATGTGGAGTTGCAGATGCAGCTCAGAGAGGGCAGGTACCTCACCCAAGCGCACATTGGCAGTAACTTGTTCTGTTGATTCTTCTGACCTGTGAGAGTTCCTTTTGTCAATTTTTATTTTCTCTTTTCTTATTGCCTTATTGTCTTTGGCTCTCCCAGCTTGGTGGCTTTTCCTGGGAAAACTGTGGTGAGGAGAAGGACCCCGTAGTGTTAAATAACCTGATTCTGGAACCTGACCCTATTAAAATTCCTGGGACTGTGACTGTCAGTGTTGATGTCAAGACCATTATCCGCCTCAATAGTCCTCAGAAGGTAAGCCTGGGGGCTGGGAGAGGGGTCGGGGATGGGGAGGTGCTGGAGGGAAGGTGCCATTGGTCAGAAGGCAGGGTCCTGAGGAATGTATACTCAGGAACTATGAGTAATTTTGGAATCCTGGAACCCCAGAGCTGCAAAGGAAGTGTAGATTTGTAGACTGTCTGATAGCCAGCTCGGGCTGGGCAGTTTGCTTTTAGTGGTGTTGTTAATTATGAAACAGACTCATCAATTAGCAAGTAATATGTAGTCACTTTACAAAACACAGTCAAAAAGGGGGGAAAATAAAAGAAATCACCTGAAATCTCACTACCTTGTGGATAAGGGATACACACTTTTAACACTTTGTAGGTTAGTCTTTGGAACTTTCTTCCATACCATGGCGTATAGCATACATATTAATTTTGAATGGACTTACATATATATATTTATATAAATACGCAGTGCTCCCTGTAAATGCCCTTTTGCAGTCTAACTCCTCACAAGATAATCATTATTAGCTATTTATGTATCCTGTCAGAATTTTTTCTACATTGATACTAATGGGATTAATGTGACATGATTAAACTTGCTTTTTTTGGGTATCATACTATGTTTCACCTCTTTTTATGGCATTTGAGTAGATCTACCTAATCATTTTTAATGGCAGAAATATTCTGTTGTAGATGGCATAATCTACTTAAGAAATCTGTTGTCAGACATTTAGTTTGTTTCCAGTTTTTTATTTGTTTTTTGGCTATATATAAACACCTCTGCGGAAAGTACCCTTGTCATGCATCTTTTTATACTTTTCTGATTATCCAGACATAGACTTTTTAGGTCTTTTTATACATATTGCCAATGTGCCTCCCGATGTCTGAACCTGTTTATCCTCTAACCAGCAACAAGAGATTTTTGCCTATTTCCACGCATTTGTTGATAGTGACCATTTTCTCAAAATCTTTTCCAGTCTTTTATGTCATCCCTAATGAGGTTAAATGTCCTTGCCTAAGTTTATTTGCCTTTGTATTTTCTTTGAGGATATAACCAGTTCGTTCATGTCTGCTGGGGGTGGATACTTGCATGTTTCCATACAGAACAATAGAGGCTTTCTACGTATCCATTGCAACTCCATACATTGTAGTCCTTTCCTCACTGGTTTGAATTGCCACCTTTATACCATATTCTTATGCCTTCAGCCTGTCCTGAAGATCTTTTCTGCCACCAGTTTCTTTTAACTCTTTGAAAGTTTTCTGATTTGGAACCAGTGTCCCTGAAACTACATTTTGACTTGGTTAAGCACAGCCCCTGCCTCATAGGTTTCTTTGAGCGATTACTGAGTTGATTACATGGAGAGTGCTTTGCACATGGCCTGGCCCACAAGACCTGCTCAGTATGTGTTAGACTTGTTAGAATTTCATTTAGTATCAGTCTCTTCCTGTGGCCGCTTTGACCCAGAGTCCTGTATATGCAGATGGTTCTCAGGCTCTGTGTTCCCTCGCACTTCTTTCCAGGTCTTCTCCAGGCGAGGCCACTGCATTTTCTTTAGCTATTCTTCAAGTGATCTTCTACCAGGTCACACATTTCCATGCTCCCTCCACTGAGTCTGGATTATAGGGCTCCTTGGTGGGCTGGCCACCATGCATATCCTCCCCCCCCCCCCCCGTCGCCATGCAAACTGCGAGCACTTCCAAGAAGCTGATGAAGTGCAGCTGACTTGGAAGGAGAAAGCTGGAAAACTCTTTCTCCCCCAGCCTGCTTTTCCTGGTTTCTTTGCAGTTTGTTAAGATGGTTCCCCCCACCTCCTACTCCCTTTTCTATTACATATCTTCCTCAACTTACGAAGGCGTTACATCCCAATAAACCTGTCATAAGTTGAAAATATTGCAAGTATAAAATGCATTTAATACACTTAACATACTGAACAGCATAATTAACCATGCTCAGAACACTTAAATTTCCCTATGGTTGGGCAAGATCATCCAACACAAAGCCTACTTTATGATAAAGAGTTGCATATCTTATGTAATTCATGGAACACTAATACTAAAAGTGAAAAACAGCACGGTTTAAGTACGTCAGCTGTTTACCCTCGTGATCATGTGGCAGACTTGGGGATAGTAGTACTATCCCCACTAGAGGGGATAGTAGTGTGTGTCGCTAGCCCTAGACCAAAATTCAAAATTGGAAGTACAATTTCTACTGAGTGTATATTTCTTTTCACCATCGTACAATCAAAAAATTGCAAGTTGAGCCATCATAAGTCTGTCCTTTATTACTTCTCATAAACTTGGGCCATTGAGCTTTGTAAAAATTGAACTCAGATTCCCACTGCCCCTTCCTCCTACATTTCTCTTTTGCATATGTTTTTGATTCAAGGAATATGCATACTAGCTATTAAAGGAAGGCCTCTCACCACTCACAGGAGAAAAAGATGATTAGCCTCATTTTACAGATAAGGGACCCTGAGGTTCAGAGAAAGGTGTAACTTACCCCAGGTCAGCATTCTAGGCTGGTGTCTTTATCCCATATTTCCCGTCCCCGAGCTCTTTCTGGCAGGGTGGTGGAATTAATGGTTGGAGTTTTTGCAGGGGAGTACCCCAGGACTTTCTCCTTGCCAGCAAAGACCACCCAGGAGAGCCGCCTAGACTCAAGCACTGCATAAGCCTGGAGGGCTCTTGATGCCAATGGCTACTACCCTTGTTACTAGGGCCCAGAGAGGAGTGACTGGTCCCGGCCACGCAGCCTGTTAGTGGCAGGAGGGCCACTTGATCTTGCTGAAGTGATATTTCTTTAATCAAAAACCCCATCTGGGACCTGGATGGCCTTAACCCCAGTTGAAATTTTTTGAAGTTAGATGCCCCAGATTCTGTGAGCCATGGGCAAGGATGGAGTCTGTCCAGGAACTCCCTTTTCTTCTTTTGATGTGTTCCACAGGCTTTGGCATAATTTAGAACTCCTTTCTTTGAGCTCTCAAGTTCCACCCTCTGAGACCTTGGTTTCCCCATCCTCAGGAATTGTAAATCACTGCTGCATTTGGCATGCACACTTATTTCAGGCTTTTAGACTTGTGGCTTTCAGACCTGTTGGTTTAACTTTTTTTCCACTGTACCTGCAATGCCTCTGCCTGAGCCCTCCCCAGTCTCATCAAATGGCTCCCCTTCAAGTCAGTGGCTATCAGTGGGTCTTTATCTAGAGCCTTGTGTGCCTAGCCTGGAGCTAGAGGCCAAGAGAAGGAGACATTGTTTTTAATATGTAAGAAATTTTGACCGTTAGGATGTCAGAACTGGTAGGTCTGTGTATCTCTTCAAGATCATGAGATGCATATACTCCATGGCCAAGATGGAGGAACAGAGGCTTGAGAAGGGAAAGGGACTTTCCCAAGGGCTCTGGCAGGTGTGGGCATCCTGATTCCATTACAGATCGGTGTCTCTGTCTTGTCAAAGCTGGTCCCATGACACTAGTTTATTTAGGTAGAGCTGTGGAGGTGCCAAGGAAGTCTTGGATGAGAGGGGTTGGTGGTCCCTCATTACTCAGCATTGCTTGCTCTTCTGAGCCGTATGAGCAAGCAGACTGAGAACGAGGACTGGAAAATGAGCCATGGTTGGTAGTTCCCAAATGGTAAGCATGGCTGTTGCCTTAAGTTTGTTGAGCCCCGCTGAGTACGTCTGTGCCGTGCTTATCCTGGCTGGGGGAGGCATGGCTCCTTCTGGTGGATGCAGCCTCAGAGGCTTCCAGTCTGGTGGGAGGAGCCCAGGCAGGACTGGTGTTCTTGTTCAGGACATAACTGGCCTAACTTTCATTGGACTATTGGCAAAACAAGGATGGGTATTGGCTAAGGGAGAGGTAGTCCAGTAGGAGGTAATTTTTGGATTTCAGGCACTATGCAGAGTGTTTTACCAGCATTGTCTCACTCAATGGGACCTTGTAAAGAGGCAGACACTTTAAAATATCCCATTTTATTTGGGAATGGAGATAAGAAGAAATTCCCCAAGGGCACCATACTAGGAAGTAGCTGAAGTAGCATTCCACCCAGGCCCTCTGCTCTTCCTAGGTAAAGGGGTTGGAGCAGGCTTGGCAGGAGAGGAGAGAGGAGGGCTGGGAGGGGGAATACGGGTGGCGGAAACATTATGTCAGCAGAGTGGGATGCGACAAATTTGAGTTTGTCCACTCAGGATATAGGGTGCAGCTGACCCTTCCTCCTGGGCCTGGGTCCTGACACCTGGGGCAGGTGGAAGACTGAGTTGTCAGCCTGGGGAGCCAGCCTGAGCCCAGCAGGGTCTGGAGGAGTAAGTGCCCATCTAGGATTTATCTCTTAGAAACAGAAGCCCTGAATCATGTGAGCCTGGAGGCTGGGATTCAAAGAATGCTGGAATGTCACAGCCAAGAGTGGTTTCTAGCCAGAACACACCCACAGGGAATGAGATTAAACTCCTCCTGTCCTTTCCTTACAATTTTCCCCAATATCTTTGGGGTGGGGAATACAAACATGGTCCTAAGGGACATGCCCATCTAGGATTTATCTCTTAGAAACAGAAGCCCTGAATCAAGTGAACCTGGAGGCTGGGATTCAAAGAATGCTGGAATGCCACAGTCGAGAGTGGTTTCTAGCCAGAACACCCACAGGGAATGAGATTAAACTCCTCCTGTCCTTTCCTTACAATTTTCCCCAATATCTTTGGGGTGGGGGCATACGAACATGGTCCTAAGGGACAAGTCATTTGGCTCTTAGGCAGCTAATACTTAGTGAATGCTTTGCACATGCCCGGCACAGCTGGCTCAGCCCTAACCTCCAGAACAGAGCAGGACTGTGGCAGCATGGAGGTGCGAAGCACTCATAGATCTTCTCATTCAGCTTCTCTCTGGCTGCAGGGGTCCTTTTGTAGCTTTTCCAGCTGGGTGGGTCCAGGGAGCCCACCTCTTCCTCAGTGTGATTATGAAGATCTTCCTAACACCAGTCCCCAAAATAATCTCCCTATAAATTCCTACTGCTTTAAGTTTTGTCTTCTATGGCTGTACAGAGAAAACAGGATCCAAGAATAGCACATAGGTTTCATCTTGGTAACCAACTCCAATCAGCTGATGGTAGCTTCCTGAAGTTCTGTTAGGAAAAGGTTCTGAAGCCAAGACTGGGCTCAGAAGGAAAGTTTAGAAGCAGTGCCACAGTTAGCCAATGAGCAGTGCATTAGATGCCAGTTAAACAATTAGATGACAAGTGCATTTCAACTTCCATCAATGGGCAGTGACCACTGAAAAAATTCTAAGACCGTGGTTCATTGCAGGGAGAGAAAAAGTCACATTTGATTATTAATGTCTGCCATGGGCACAAGAAAGGATAGTATTGGGGCAGGTGCCACAATATTGTCATTTTTGGATCAGAAATGAGATATCTCCAAGATCCCATCCAGTTCAAAATTCTGTGATTAAAATAAGATGCTGACCTTTAAAGAAGGCAGAGGAGCTGCTATGTTTGCCTTGGAATTTTACACTTTTTCTCCAACTCTCTCACCAGGTGGAATTAACTGTGGAGAAGGAAGTGGCTGGCATCTGGATTAAAATACCATGTGTGGAACAAACTGGTAGCTGCATCTATGAGAACATCTGTGATACACTTGATGACTTAATTCCCCCTGGGAGTCCCTGCCCAGAACCTTTGCACACCTATGGGCTTCCCTGCCACTGTCCCTTAAAAGCAGTAAGTATAGGGAGAGGAGAGCATTACTGTGGCTGGGGTAGAGGCATGTGGTGTGGAGACATTCTCCTGCAAATCTGCATATCTATGGATGTTAACTGATAGGACTATCCTGAATCACTTTATCTTTTGGAGGCCTTGGTTCATGCATCTGCGGAATGGGAGACATGAAGCTGGATTTGACCTCCAGTGCCCTTTTACTGTCGTCACATTCCGTGCCCTTAGGAGAGTGGGAGGAGGGGTAGTTCCTGGCTGCCACCCTAGAGGTCACTCCAGGAGAGTGTACTGTCCATAGGCTCCCAATGACCTGTGGTCCACTGCCTTTCCTGCAGGGCGTCTACATAATGCCCAGGAGTAACATCGAGCTCCCCAGCCTGCAGCTGCCTGCCTGGCTCAGCACCGGGAACTACCGAATCAAGAGCAAACTGAGCAGCGGCGGGAACCATCTGGCCTGCGTCAAGATCTCTTTCTCCCTAAAGGCCAGATAAGGTGGAACCTGCCACAGTGGAATGAAGAGGGCGTGAATGTCTCTGTCTTATGCTGGCACTGGCCAAATTCTACTGTCTGTCCTTTTTCAAGCCCCTTTCTACAATGATGATGCTCCCCTCTCTGAAAGTCACAGTCACATTTTATGCCATTTACACAATTATTAGGTGTGGACAAGCAGCCCTAACCTAAGGGAGGATAAGCCGGTGCTTTTTGACACCCCAGGCCATCTACTGGGCTGGCCACTGCATTTTCTTTCTCATCCCTATTGCTTTCTAAGAGCTTAACTTGTTTGCTAAACCGTCAAGGAATTGGACTAACATGTTTTGTGACCCCAAGTTCAGACTGACCCAGTCACGTCTTCCTGAAGTACCTTTATGGTTTTCTCATTGCCTTTTTTTATGTCACTGACCAGCCTAAAAGCAGAATGACGGTATTAACAGTTTTCATTTTACTTCAACCCCTCTTACAATGAAGGGCCTAAAGTAGTTGATCTCAGTCTATTCTTCCATTAACTTCTATGATTAATTTAGTGTTCTTTTCTAGACTTGCCCAGTTAACAGTGAGGCACAGTGTATCCTGGAGAGGCAGGCCATGTGGTGGGAGAGATATTTGAGAGTGCTTTATGTGTTTAAGATGGTCTGCGAACTCAGGTGCCTGCAGGGCTAAGCACAAGGCATTAGTGAGTGATGACCAGGAGGAACATGTTGCTTCTGGGCACGTCTTCCATTCTACTTTTGTATAACAGCACTGATCTGAGGCAGCTGCTGCCCACTCCCACTGGGGTTATAATCAGGGATGTGGGACTGGGGTGAGTTGGAAAGTGCACATCCAGTCAGTAGGGCAGCTGCTGTCTAGCTATGGCCAGTAAGTACCACATGAGAATGTGGGTCCAACATTGCCAAATATTCTGAATTCTTTTTTCCTGAGAGAAGCCAGAAGTCCAGACTTTTATATGAAATCAATTTTTAAATACTGGCAATGAGTTATTTTTTGAAACACTGAGCAGGCAGAAGGGGCCAAACAGACCTGTCAGTGGGGAAGTCTGACTCATGGGTGGCCAATTTGTGACCCTGGATGTAAGAACAGGTATGCCTTGTCCTTTTTGCCTGGAGACAACTCCTCTGGCACTGTTTCTCCTTCCAATGGGCCAAATCCATCATGTCTGACCCTAGAAGCCTCCTCCAGTGTTGTGGGGGTAGATGCAGCCTCAGAGATGTGAGCTCAGGGAAAATGAGGCTGCCTCCCTGGCCTTCGAGCACTGCCAGGATGAGTGGGGTAGATGCTGAAGAGTTGGACCTCTAGCAGCTGCTGTGTGGAGTGGGGATCCAGTGAAGAGAGGTGGACTTATGCCAGCTGCCTGGGTTTGTTCACCGTCCTGTCCTACCATGACACTGTTCTCACTCATGATCAACCCTGGGTTGTGGGTTCATTGAAGCCTGGAATGATAATAAATCTTTTTAACTTTCTGAGAATTCCTCCTCTGTCATGGCTGTACATTTTCTCATTGAGCACATCTCAGGATTTTCCGAAGCTCCTTTGAGGTGGGCTGTGTCTGTCTGGAAGGTTGTGGCCGCGGGACAGGGAGCCAAGAAGATTTCAGGAACTAACTTCTGTTTCTGTCTCATGAGCTGCTTGTTACCTCTGCTTCATCCTGTCCCATCACCATCCAGCTTCCCTGGTTGGCCTTTGAGCCTTCCCTTTGCAGTGTGACCTCTCCAGCCTTTTTTCCCCTCCTGGATCTTTGGGTATCATTCTCACAGTCTTATTTTAGCTCTTGTCCCAGCATGGACTCTCAGTAGCTCAGTTGTTCTTGACTCAGATGTTCCTCCAAGTCTTGGGATGGGGTGGTTGAGAAATCTCAAATCACAGGGCAAAGTGGATTTTTAAATAAATGGTGCTGAGCCAACTGGAGAGCCACTTGGAAAATGCTGAAAGTAGATCCATAGTTTATACACCATATTCAAGAATAAACTCCAAATGAATCCAGGGTCTAAGAGTAAAAAAAATGAAATCGATCACCACAACACTGGCTACACCCCCAATCAAAGGGATAACAGCCAACACACAGATGCTGACAACCACTCATAGTAAAAACAGACCTCATGACAAAGATCGTACACCATGATCAAGTTGGATTGATCCCAGGGATACAGGATGGTTCAACCTACACAAATCAATGTGATACACCACGTCAACGAAAGGACAGAAATCACATGATTATCTCAATAGATGCAGAAAAAGCATTTGATAAAATTCAACATCCATTCATGATAAAAACGCTTACCAAAATGGGTATAGAGGGAACATATCTCAGCAGAATAAAAGCTCCTTATGACAAACCCACAGCCAGCTTAACACTCAGTGGTGAAACTGAAAACCTTCCCACTAAAATCTAGAACAAGACAACAATGCCCACTCTCACCACTTCTATTCAACATAGTTTTGGAAGTCCTAGCCACAGCAATCAGGCAAGAAAAAGGGATCCAAATTGGAAGAGAAGAGGTAAAATTGCCACTATATGCAGATGACATGATACTATATACAGAAAACCCTAAAGTTTCCACACAAAAACTACTAGAGTTGATAAAAGAATTCTGCAAGGTAGCACTATACAAGATTAACATAGAAGTCAGTTCCATTTCTTTTTTTTTAACATTTTTTATTGATTTATAATCATTTTACAATGTTGTGTCAAATTCCAGTGTTCAGCACAATTTTTCAGTCATTCCTTCACACTAATAGTGAAATATCAGAAAAAGAAAGTAAAGAAACAATCCCTTTTAAAATCACATCCAAAACAATAAAATACTTAGGAATAAATCTGACCAAGGAGATGAAAGACTTATACATGGAAAACTATAAAATACTGATTAAGGAAATGAAAGATGACTTAAAGAAATGGAAATCTATCCCATGATCTTCAATTGGAAGAATCACTACTGTTAAAATGGCCATACTGCCCAAGGCAATCTACAGATTTAATGCTATCCCTATCAAATTACCCATGACATTTTTCACAGAACTAGAACAAATAATCTCAAAATTTATATGTAATCACAAAAGACTCCAAACTGCCAAAGCAATACTAAAGAAAAAGAATGAAGCTGGAGGAATAACCCTCCCAGACTTCAGACAATATTACAGAGCTACAGTCATCAAAACAGCATGGTATTGGTAATGAAAACAGATATATGGATCAATGGAACAGAATAGAGAGCCCAGAAATAAATCCACAGACCTATGGTCAATT